TGGGCAGGTCACAGTCCTCCTCCAGGGTCCCTGCTTGCCCTGTGACACTTCCCATGGGTGAGAAACCAACACCCATCCCAAACCAGACTGCAAGTACCTCCTGGCTCTGCTCTGGCCTCGCACGTCTCATCCTGCCCGGGCTGGGCTCACATCCTGCAGCCAGGGTTAGGCCTGGCTTCCCTGAGCTCTCTGCTGACAGCAGGAGTCAGGGCAGGAGGCACATGCACACTGGAGACATGGCTCTAGGGAAGGAGAGCAGCAGGGCAGGGAGCCTGAGTGGAGCTAGCACAGGCACTAGGGGCACTGCAGGGGTTGGGTCCCTCCCCGCATGGTTGACCCCAGCGAGGCCGGACCCGCGGTGCAGCCGGGGAGCCAGGAGGCGCAGACTGGAGCGACCCCAGGGGGCAGGGGTGCAACCTTATGTTAGCTCCCCCGGGGCAGCTCTGGGCCCCAGGGAGGAACTGGCAGGATGGGCTGGGGCAGCCCAGCCAAGGAGCACACTGAGGTCCCTGCCCCTGCCCCTCGTCCTTCCCCCTCGCAGCGCGTAGAGACAAAGTCAATAAAGAGACTGTAGCTACCGGGCTCTGCACAGCGCTGCTCCGTGCAAGGGACGCGTCCCCTGCTCTCACCCCCTCCTTCCGCTGGGGCCTGGACCTGCCTGGTGCTGTGCAGCCAGAGCAGACCACAGCCCTGCACGTCCTGGGGCCCTGACCTGGCCTGCCTCCAGGGATGGGGCCCCGGTGCAGCAGGGAAGCCCCTACCCCAGGCAGGAGCAGGGCAGGCCCCTGTGACCTTGGCCCCTGCCGCCCAGCCCCAACAGCCCAGGGGCCAAGGGCACAGGCCTGGCTCTGCCTGGGCTGCAGCCCACCCTGCTTGCTGCAAGCAGCTGCATGGGATTTATTTTTAGAGGTGCGGCTGCCGGGGCCGTGAGCTGACGCCTTTCCACGCCGGCCAAGCCGTGGAAGCCCGGCCTGCCCGCAGCGGACAGTTCCTGGGCGGTGCGCAGCTGCATCCCACGCCCGCCACAGACTGCAGCTGAGAGCACGTCCCGCGCCTGTCAGCTGCGCTGCCCCCGCCCCCGCCCCCTGCAAAGGGAAGCCCCTGGGAATGCACCTTCTCTGCCAAGCTGCACCCTGCAGTTGTCTGGGCGAGAGGGGCCAGGCCCAGCCCCAAGGCATGAGGGAGAGAGCTGGGGTGTTGGCCATGGACCCTGGCCCGTTCTGTCAGCTCCTGACACACCTGGGCACCGCTCTCCAGCCAGGCCCTGGCGTGCTCCAAGACAGCACTGCCCCTTCACAGAGCCAGCTGCACCGTTGCTCCCGTGAGCAGCTGCCAGGACTGTGCCCAGGGCTCTGTGGGGAGGCAGGCAGTTTGCACACCAGGGTTCAGGGCCTCAGGCTCATGAGCAAGCCCTGGCCGGGGTGTGGGGCAGCATTGTTGCCCCATCCCATGTGCTCTGCCCACCATAAACGGCCTGAACGTGGCGAGGGAAGCGGGGGGCCCTGGCACTGCCCAGCAGCCAGCTCAGCAAGGTCGGGACATGAATGCACAGTGATGCGTAGAGGGTTAAACACCCATGGCCTCAGGCCCCGGCCTCAGTGCAGCCTACCTTTGTCCCTTGCGCAGGCCTGGCACTGCTGGCAATGGGCTGCCACTTCCCATTTGCAGCACGTGGGCCAGTCCTGCTTCGGCAGGAGGAACTGAGTGCAGCCAGGGGCCCAGGGACTGCCCTGCACAGCTGGAGCTGGCAGGCCCCCGGCAGCTGCTGCCCCTCCTCTGCCTTGCGACAACCCAACTGCCCCCACGCTGCAAGTGCCACTGGGCACAGCCCCCATGCCCGGGGCAGGGATCAGCCCCGGCAAGCGGCAGCACCTGGTGTGCGGCACATTTGCCGAGTGCTCCGACTTCTGTGACTGCGCAGCGATGCCATAGCTCCACATCCTCACGACCCCCAAGGGCTATGACTAGGCTGCGGCTGCAGGCAAGGGAGCCAGAGCCGGGGGTCTTGACACCGGGGCCCAGGTTTGCCCAAGCCCCAGGGACCAACCACTGCCTCTGACCCATGGGGGAGAATGGGCAACTTAGTCTCTGGCGGACACTGGGATGCTCCCAGTGGCCACAAGCCTGGCGGATCACTAGGACATGCCCAGACGCTGCGGTGATGGGTGCCAGGGGCTGAGCCACCCCCTGGAAGCCCCTCCGGTGGAGTGGGGTGGTGGCGCTCCAGTGCCAGCGTGGCGCGGGGCCAGTGCCCGGCAGGCACACCGGCAGGAGCATGACTGGATCGTCAGCTGTAACGATGCCCTTGGCTCCCGGCCCAGGTGTGGCAGCATGTAACTGGCGGGGCGGGTGCAGGCTGTGCCCGAACGCACCCAGCTGCCACCGCATTGAACCGGCCTGAGCCCAGGCGGCACAAGCAATGCTGACACCTCCGACCCCTGGCAGGCAGGGAGGCGGCCGTGAGGGCGATGGCCTGGCTGTGCTGAGCTGGCAACTGTAGCCGGAAGGGAAGGTGCCGCTGTCAGCACCACGCTGGCTCTGACCTTGGGCATGCCAGCTGGCTCCTGCCGGTGCGGGAGCCGGCCCCCCTGCCCATGGGCTCGCCGGGCTGGATGGGGAATGGCAGGGATGAGATGGGCCAGCGCGGTGCAGCACGGCAGCAGCAGGCAGGGGCGGCAGCCCAGCCGCACCAGGGCCTCGGTCCCCATGAAGGATGCCGGCTCGGCCCTGCACAGGGACGCTGGCACCCTGGCACCGAGCATAGGCCGAGGCCACGGCTCTGCGCGCTCCCCCGGCTGCGGGCAGCCCAGGGTAGGGCAGGCAGGAGACCCAGAGCCCACCCAAGCGCCAGTCCTGCCAGCCGTGGCCCCTGCGTTCTCCGGTTGGTGGATGGCACGTGCCAAGGCAGCCGGCCCTGCCTGCACCGCTGCACATTATCTATTAATGGGAATAATGGCCCCAGATAAGGGGTGCAATGCCGGCAGTAAACATTAACCCGGCAAAGCGCGTGGGGAGTCAGGCCTGGCGCGGAGGCAGGTAGGCCAGCTCCTGTCAGCCACCGTTGGGGCCCTGGGGGTGCTGGGATCCACTGCCCCTGGGCACCACAGCCTCCATCACCCCTCCCCAGCGGCCCAAGGGGAGCGGCGACCCCCGGGCACAGATGGGGTGGAAGATGGGGGTGCAGCAAGGCGCCCTGAGAGAACAGGGATCTGCGCAGCAGCAGCTGAGCTTGCAGGCAGCACCGGGACCGACCGCGATCAGGGCTCCTGGGGTCCAGAGGAAGGGGCAGCTGCTCCACTCCTGGCTGCGCCGGGCCGCCCCAGTGGGGTTTTCTTTCCTGGGGCCATCGGCCCCCAGCTGAGGGCACAAAGAAGGCATCATGGGGTGTCCAGCTGCCCATCACCCCTTGCCCAGGGGCCCACGAGGAAGGGGGAATGGCACGTTTCCACAAGCCCTCATTGTGGGGGGGGCCAGGACAATGTGCCACAGCCAGGCTGGCCCTTGCTCCCTGGGACTTTGTGCCCTGTGTTTGCACCACGGCCTCCTCGAAAGAGCAGCAGCCGTAAATAAGGCCATAAACAGGCTGTTTGGAAGGGGCACGCGGCAGCGGAAACCTGGCTGGCGTGGCAGCGGGCAGGATGGGGCCAAGCCCAGGATGCCAGGGCCTGGGCAGCCCCAGGACGCCCCTGCTCTGCCCCCGCTTCTCACTGCAAACGCCCCATGGCCCCGGCTTTCCCGGGGCCCCTCCCGGCACCGTGCCCCCAGCAAGGGCGCTCTCTGGCCTGGAGCTGAGCCTTCCCTCTGGGTCACGGGGGTTCAGCCCAGCTCCAGTACCAGGGAAGCGCAGGAGCCAGGGCACGAACTCTGCCCCCGCGAGCCACAAGCGGGGCCATCCCAGGGGCACGACAGTGTCCTCGGCTTGGAAACAAGCAGCCCCCTGCCCCAGGGCAGGTGAACCTGGTTGCACCCCGAGTCGGCGCAGCCCCGTCGCTGCGCCAGGCTGCAGAGCCCAGGCTGCGGCTGTGAGAACATGGCGGGGACCCGGGGTTTCTCCTTCCTGCCGCCTGCTCCTGGCTCGACCATCCCTCCTGCCCTGGGGAAGGCGGCGCGGTCACACACTGCCCTGCAGGACACAGGGCAGGAGCTTGGCTTCCCACCCCGCTCCTGCAACAGCCGCGGGGGAGTGGGGAGCTCTGGGGTGGCTGTGAGCCGTGCCCCGTGCCCCCGGCAGCGCTGTGGCTCTCCCTGCCCCGACTCCTCGCAGCTCCCCTGCGAATCCGGGCAGAGGCGGCACCTCCCGCTGCCAAGGCCAAATCCGAGCTGGCAGCAATGCTTCAAGGACACAAACAGCCCAAAGGTTTCCGGGACAACTCACTGGGGATTACTCACCGCCACGGCAGCCGCTGGCACCCTGCGCAGGACGGGAGCAGGGCAGGGCCGTGCCAAAGCCTTCTGACATGCACCCCCTCGACCTGGTGCCAGCAGGGGCAGCATGGGGGGGCCACGCTGGGGTGGGACGGGGAGCGTCCGTCGTGGGGCAGGTGACAGCGGGCACGAGAGGGGCTGGGAGCAGCCTCCCAGTGCAGCCCGAGGGGGCAGGCGCTGGTGAGAAAGGGACCTGCAGAGATGCTGCAGGCAGTGAACAGAAGGGATTTTTTTTATAAAAATATATGTCTTTTTTATATATATATATATATATATACACAGGTTATATATATATATCTATATGTACACCTTCTAGTCATTGAGCATTGCTTCCTTAACCCACCGTGCACCCGTTACAATATACACGCCTGCGGAAAGGCGCTCTCTCGCACCCATCCGCAAGGCATCCTCTCCCTCAAAGCCCTTGTCTCTTAGTCCTGTCCCCAAATACGGGGATTAAACCTCAGTCCGTTTGCTCTCGCTTCGGCTGGAGGACCCGCGGCTGCTGCGACTGCTGCCGTCCTCATTGCCCTCTTCC